GTTAAAAAACAAAAGGAAAACTAGAAAACTGGAGATGTATATATCTCCATCACTCTCTCTCTCTCTTTCTCTCTCTCTCTCTCTCTCTCTCTCTCTCTCTTTCTCTCTCTCTCAGGCGCAAACATATTCTCCCATACAAATAACATTCCTAGAGGTATAGTGAGGGAATAAAAGAGTACTTTTTGTACTACGACAATATTTGACTGAAGAAGAACAATCTTTCCTTTTACTCTGTTTTATATCGTGTGATTTTTATTTTTTCGGAGGAAGGGGGGGGGGGTATTAAAGGGTTTTTCTGTTCTACTTTTGTTGAAGCTTTTTCATGCGATTTTGTTACTTTCCAATCTTTTCAGTGGAATTTGATCTGCGATATGAGATGGGCAAAACCCACTGTGACGTCAGTCCAAATGACCGGGGTACTGATTGGTGCGGTACTGGCCGGGTACCTGGGCGACCGCTTTGGCAGGAAGAAGATATTTTTTGCCTTAATGTTGCTGCATTCCCTGAGTAACTTCGTGGCTGCTTTCTCCGTGTCTTGGCAGATGTTTGGTGCCGTCCGGTTCGTCCTTGGATTGGCAATCGGTGAGCTGGCTTCTCGTGTATTTCGTCTCTTCTGTTTTGCTTAAAAGTGGGGCACAATCTGCCGCATATACTAAATCCGTTTTCCAATCCCTCCTCCCCACCACTTCCTCTTGTTTTTCCCAACTGCAACTGGAAAGAGTATTATTTTTGGTCCTGCTAAAACAGGATAAAACATTTTCATGAAATAAGTGGTGCTGGTTTGACAATGGTATTCGGGAGTATCAAGGCAAAAATGCCATTGGCTCAGTCGAAGTTCAGTCAAGGGAAAACACTGTTGTAATGCTTTCCTCAGAAAACCGAGTTTCCTAAATGCCATTAGTTTATATGTTGAAAATGTCTATATTTAAACCTAGTGATATCAACAATGACCAAACATTTTCGTTTGTGAACTATCAAAAGATATCAGTAGCAACAAACAATTGCAAAAGTCAAGACAACCACATTAATGTATTTTTTCATTGTGTTTATGTAGTGAGGCTCAAGGTTTTTTATATTAAGTTGATTGATTTTTACTCTCTGTTGGTGATTGGCGGGTGCTCTGTTGTGGTTTGCTTCTTCTTTCCTATCAAACATCTATCGTCCTTATCTCCCCTTCTTCTTTTTTATGTTTCTTACTCTCTTGTAACACCTCTAAATCTAATCTTCTGGCGCTCATATGACCTTATGCAGTTGCGAGTGCCGTAAAACCTCCACTAAAACTAAAACTAAACTTTTACTCTCTGTACGTGATAGATAAATGGACAAGTAGAAGAATATATAAACAGATGAATAAACTAAATGACAAGTTACTTAATCATAAATTATCAATGATTGATTCAATTTTGTTTTAAAATTTAACAACGTTTGTACATGCTTTGCTAATGCAATTAAAGAAGAAATCCTTCCGTGATCCCTTCAGGTGGCCTCACTGTGGTGTGCTATACGTTCTGTATTGAGGTTCTTCCCGTCAGATGGCGACCCATTCTGTCTGTGATCCCGGCCTGGGTGCTCGGCACGTGCATGTTGGCCGGCGCTGCCAGTCTGCTCCAGAACTGGTCTCACCTTCACATTGTCTGTGGTTTCATGGGTCTCCCGACTTTGCTGGCATGGTTGTGAGTTCTCTTCCTACTGTGGATTATTCTAAAGATGTTGCGTGTAGGAGTAAAATTTCTAAATATCGGAATGTGACGCTGGGTGGGGGGGGGGGGAAGACTATAAGACCAATGGATAAGTCAATGGAAAAACCCTTAATTTACGTACACATAATTTATATCACTGCCATTCAATCATGCCTTTCATGGCCAGCCTAGGCTGCATGGAATACTACCTGTTTATAAAAAAAGGGGGGGGAATCAGCTGTAATTAAGGTATTTCACTACTCGATAATCAAATTCAAGTCTTTTGAACGCGAAGTGGGGAGTGTAACCATTAACGCACAAACACCTCCGTCAACACGACCCATTTAAGGAAGCCAGCTAGCCTTGATGTCAATTAACAAAGAAAAATGAACGTCAAAGTGCTTCTAAAGAACAAAAGCCGTGCATACATGTATACGTAATGCTATCTCTAACTAAAGTGGTTAAAATGAAAAAGGAAAACGATTTTCTCTCAGAGACAGAAAATCTTCAACGAATTGAAAATGTTGATATAATATTTGTTTTCTCATGTGGAATGCTCGGTTCCTTGAACTGATAATAATAATAGATAGCATGTGCATAGCGCAAATCCCCACTCAACAGCAAACTCTATGCGCTTTACAATCGATACTATTACCCAGACTTGAGAGCATTCTGAAACAAACTCAACTTCCTAGGAAGCATACAGTGCAAGCAGCTGATTAAGCCCTCAAAAACTAACATACTGACAAGATCTTTCACTGTCTATGGCCGTGTACCCATCCCCACTTGGGTAAAGTGAGGAAAATTCCTGTAAAGTGCCTTTCCCAAGGACACAACGTCGGGCTCGCGGCTCGAACCCCCGAACCCGCAACCTCACGATTACGATTCTGGTAGCCCAACCACTAGGCCACCGAAGCCAACTGATTTGACTTAGTATTGGAGATCAGAATTAAACATGATCTGGTCGACTCTTGACTTTTTGAGACTTTGTGTGAAGAGAATTTTTGATTAATTTAGATTTCCGTGGCTGCCCAAACGTGCTGAACATTCTTTGAGAACATAAACCGTTGAGGTTAATAGCGTTATACATCGTTATACGTCCTTCAAAACCTAAGAGGGCAGAGAGGAAGGAATGCCCACCTTAAAGCTACTTTGTAATTATATCTCTATTATCATCTATGCTATCGTAAAACGCTTCTGAACCTTTTCTATTCAGCCTGCTAGCACATTGATCCTAACTGCTGGTTCATTTAGATCGTTTTGGTGGGATACGTGTACATTTGTTTGGTTAGACTACATGTTTTTGATTGATATATTTGGTTGTGTCATATTTGCATATCACAATTTTCATCCAGCGAAATCTGTTGTGTACTATAAGTGTCCAATATATTTCATACACTAAGACAAATAACCTCTGAAATACGGGAGTTGGTAGATATCTCTAGTCGTTGAAGGTCAAAAGTACATAATATTATACCAAATTACCACTGAACTCTTCGCAAATTACGCGAAGGTGGTCAAATGAAGTTCCTTGAAATCAATATGATTCAAGACTTTCACAATTTGTATATATCTCATACAGATAAATATTCACAGGGATGGTCCTATTAAAAACTGTCTTTGAAAAGTATCCCCACGTTGAGAGAGAAATGGCCTGCTGATCACGGGATTGTTATTTTCTTCACGTGATCCTTGTATTTTTCTGTTCTTCCTGTTTTCTTTTCATACGATTTGTTTTGGAAAAATGTACTTTTACACAATCATATTTATTATTATTATTGTGTGTGTGTGTGTGTGTGTGTGTGTGTGTGTGTGTGTGTGTGTGTGTGTGTGTGTGTGTGTGTGTGAGAGAGAGAGACAGAGAGAGATAGAGAGAGAGGGAGAGAAAGAGAGAGAGAGAGAGTGTGTGTGTGTATGTGTGTGTGTGTGTGTGTGTGTGCGTGTATGTGTGTGTGCGTTTGTTTGTTTGTTCTTGTACGAGTTACTGCTTTAATTATAGAACAGATGAAATAGCAGATGTACTGATTTTGATAGAAAACCCTGCAGCTTTTCTTTTTCTATCACCCTTCCTAGCATAGTGCCCGAGAGCATCAGATGGCTTAGTGTGCACAACAGGATAGACGAAGCTATGGGGGTCCTTAGAAAGATGGCAGAAACCAATGGCAAAAAAGTGCCACAAAAGGCAAGAAGTGTTCTGGAGGTAAGAATATATTTAATGTTATTGAGAACGCGTGCTTGCGATGTGTTGAGAGAGCGAGGCGATTTGGGATAAAAATCAGTCCCTTGCATTGAATAAAAGACAGTATGGAATTATGAAAAGTGCTGGAAGCTATATTATTTGTACAAAATCTCAGGACAAAAACATTATTATTAATATCAAATAAACATGACGTTGTCAGAACATACTTCGTTACTTTTTCTATATGAAAATTGGAAGTATAAGTTTTCGCAGCAACTACTACTTTTTTCCCCACAGATATAGTGGAGAACTCTATTATCTATTGTTGTTGTTGTTGTTGTTGTTGTTGTTGTTGTTGTTGTTGTTGTTGTTGTTGTTGTCATTGTTGATGATGATGATGATGTTAAAGTATCTCAAATTTTGTGTGGGTTTCAGTATAACCCTATCGAGTTATGTTGCCGCTTGTATGTATCACTCTTAACTGACCTTGACCTCAGGGTATCGCAAAGGAGGAAGAAGAGCTACGTGTCACCAATAAACAGTACACATACTTGGACCTTGTGAAGGAGCGAAAGGTGGCCACAGCGACTGTCCTTGTCTGCTTCGACTGGTGGGTGACTGCTATGGTCTGGGATTTTTAGGCCCGTTTTAACATTATACGGTTATCTTAGAGATTTAACATCCATCTCCGATAGGGCTAAGGAACAGCTTTTGAGAGTAATGAAAGGAAATCAAGTACAGGAGCGTTTTTTGAGTGTATTCAAACAATGATCAAAAACATCGAAACCAAACTGAGGTCACAGTTCCATCTTGAGTACCTGATGGAGTTCAATGTTGCAAAATGTTCCCATGATCACGAAAATGTATGATTTGTATATTTCGCAAGTAAACAAAAAGAGAATGCACTTCGTTTTGTCAGAGTCAAGGGATAGCAAATTTAACAATGGCATTAGAGATAAGAAAAGATAGAAAATGGAAAATAAGTGACAATACAAGAATCGACTTACTAAAGGAAAAACACTTGAAAGATGAAAAGGAAGAAGTAATAGAGAAGCAACAAAAGAACAGATAGATAGATAGATAGATAGATAGATAGATAGATAGATAGATAGATAGATAGAGAGAGAGAGAGAGAGAGAGAGATAGAGAGATAGATAGTTGGTCCATTAAATCTCGTTTTGCTTTTCTTTATTACTGTTTTAGTTGGGGGGTTTTCCTCTTGTCTTTGCCTTTCGTGAATTCATCTAGCAGATCCCAACCACCATCTCTCCCTCCACAGGTTCGCCATGTCCCTCATCTACTACGGCATCAGCTTCGGCGTGGCCAGCTTTTCTGGCAATTTCTTCGTGAACCTCACCATACTGACCGCCCTAGATGCGCCCATGATGCTCGTCTCTTTCTGGCTTGTGAACAGGTATCCATGATACTATGATGATACTCGTTTCTGTCTGGCTAGTGAACAGGTGTCCATGACACTCGTTTCTTTATGGCTCTTGAACAAGTATCTATGATACTCGTTTCTCTCTGGCTGTAAACAGGTATACATGATACTGGTCTCTTCCTGGCTTCTCAACAGGTATCCATGATACTCGTTTCTTTCTGGCTCTTGAACAGGTATCCACGATACTCGTTTCTGTCTGACTGTAAACAGGTATCCATGATGCTGGTCTCGTTCTGGCTTCCCTGCAGGTATCCATGATACTCGTTTCTTTTTGGCTAGTGAACAGGTATCCATGATGCTGGTCACTTTCTGGCTAGTGAACAAGTATCCATGATGCTGGTCTCGTTCTGGCTTCTCAACAGGTATCCATGATACTCGTTTTTTTCTGGCTGGTGAACAGAGGGAGGTGGGGAGAGGGGGAGGGGTGATGGGTGGGGGGAGACGCATGGAAAGAACGTTGATGTCTCATGCCTAAACGTTTTATACTATACATTAATGCATTAAAGTTTACTTCCTTTATTATTCAGCTTTCTATTTGATTTTTATACCAGCAGCGTTATGGTATGAATCTATATATTTCTTGAAACAGAGGTTTCATTTTATTAAACATTATTGAGATAAGTGTTGCATTATTTTTACTGTCAGCATGTTGATGGGGTCAAACTGTATTAGATACTATAAGTTTTCTTTATACATTATCAATATCTGAAAGTAAAATATTACCCAGCAACATATTTTACCATATTATTATGTTTTATCTTATAAAACAAAATATAATTTAAGAAAAATGTTGTTACGTCACTTAAACTGACCAAAATGTCCGTGTCCTTGCAGAATTGGCCGGCGCTGGACATCAGTGCTGTATTTTGTACTGGCCTGCGGGGCTGCAGTCGGGTGCTTGGTGGTGGAGCTCATTGGTCAGTGTGACTGAGTTTGTTTGTCTGTGTCTTTCGTTCTTAGTTTCTTCCTTTCTCTGTGCCTGTTTTTCTTCCTGTCAGTTTTTCTGTTTTTAAGCGTAAAATGACGTCGCTCTTGGCACAGATTAGTCGTTTTGAAGGTGGGGCTTCTACCTCACTATAAAGAGTGAAGAAGAAGGATGGCAGGAAAATGTAAGTGACGATACATCTTGGAAAATATCACATGTGTAAATCTGGGCTTGGTTGCTCAAACACTTTTTTTTTCACTTGCATTCAGGTTGCATCTCACACTGGTTTGCTATAGTTTTATGTGGTTACCTTTGAGCTACTGGAGCAAGATCTCGCCGGTCGGGGGATGGGAGTGGGGATAGGGGCTCTGCCTTTGGTTACAATTGCCAATGTATTTTAACTTCAAAAGTTATACCAATTAACTTGTATGTACAATTTACTGATATTGTGATGGAAGTCTTATCATATCTGTCCTCATCCCCTTTTCCCCATTTTTTAAATACCTCTTTCACATACCATTTTGGATTTCATTGTTTTGTTTTCGTTTAAGAGTAAGGGATTGATATCGCACAGCAGCAAAAGAAAAAAAAGAAGAGAAAGAACACTTGCAATTGCAAGAACCTGTATTACTGCCGTATTACCCAGCTGACCACTGGTCTTTCATAGAGTCAACATGCCCTTGTATAACAACTCTAGCATTCCGCTGTGCCCCCCCCCCCCCCCCCACTAGCATCTTGTTATTGGTTGCCCCCCCCCCCCCCCCACCCCCTCCCACATACACACACGCACACTCTGTGGACGGTTCACGGTGTTCGTTGTTCAAAATTGCTCAATCAAACAAGCGAGCATTAGCGTTTGTCTTGTTGTGGTTAGGCTCTACGCCAGCGCACACAGAAGACATGAGTTTTGACCATGTGAACGGCAGTTCTTAGTAGGGAGACATAAAGCGTATCAGAGTGAATCAAGTCCGAGTGGGATACAGCATCTCAGACAAAAGACAGTAACAATTACAATGAAAACGGCAGTCTTCATCCGAATCTTTCTTCCCTGCAAGATGAATGTAGGTTGTGATTGTCATTTCCTGTCGGCTAAAATAGTTTATCCCACTCATCACGGGTTGGCCTTGAAATGCCCTTTCGCAACAGCTTAGCTCCTAAATTATCTAAATTGTGTCAAGGGTGACGTAAAACATCATCATGTATCACAAAACCACGTTCCTTTAATGCCCCCGCAGGTTCGGCTGATCGTGGCCTGATGCTCAACATCCTGTGTACATCGTCCAAAGTGATGGTCAGCAGCGGCTGGTGTGCTATTCAGACCTGGGGGGTAGAACTTTACCCAACGGTCATACGGTGAGAAGGGCTGCAGTATAATATTTGAAGGTTTTGACCTAACTCTGAATCTATTATCATAATATGGTTTTGTATACTTTAGTACAGACCAAGTCTTGAATTAATAATCTAGCTTAGCTAAGTTTAGTTAACCGTTAACTTTTTTAGCCCAATGTTTTAGATCTAAACTTTTGTTCCAGTTCGATGTGTCATCCCCTTTAGCTTAGTCTAGTTTACATCCTTTCGTAGTTTAGCTCAGAATAAAAAATCTTTGAATATTAAGTTAGTATAAACATTCTTTAAATACATGTAGTGTGAACCCGAGTATTTTGTGTAAACATAAGTGTGTTGTGTAAACATAAGTGTGTTTAAACATAAGTGTGTTGTGTAAACATATGTGTGATGTGTAAACACGAGTGTGTTGTGTAAACATAAGTGTGTTGTGTAAACGTAAGTGTGTTGTGTAAACATAATTGTGTTGTGTAAACATAAGTGTGTTGTGTAAACGTAAGTGTGTTGTGTAAACATAAGTGTGTTGTGTAAACGTAAGTGTGTTGTGTAAACGTAAGTGTGTTGTGTAAACGTAATTGTGTTGTGTAAACATAATTGTGTTGTGTAATCATAAGTGTGTTGTGTAAACGTAAGTATGTTGTGTAAACATACGTGTGTTGTGTAAACATAAGTGTGTTGTGTAAACATAAGTGTGTTGTGTAAACACGAGTGTGTTGTGTAAACGTTAGTGTGTTGTGTAAACATAAGTGTGTTGTATAAACATAAGTGTGTTGTGTAAACGTAAGTGTGTTGTGTAAACGTAAGTGTGTTGGGTAAACATAAGTGTGTTGTATAAACATAAGTGTGTTGTATAAACGTAAGTGTGTTGTGTAAACGTAAATGTGTTGTATAAACATAAGTGTATTGTATAAACGTAAGTGTGTTGTGTACACATAAGTGTGTTGTGTAAACGTAAGTGTGTTGTGTAAACGTAAGTGTGTTGTGTAAATATAAGTGTGTTGTGTAAACTTAAGTGTGTTGTGTGTTGCAGGAATCTCGGCTACGGCGCCCACAACACAGCTGCTCGTGTGGGAGGAATAGTGGCCCCTTTTCTCATCAATTTAGTAAGTCACTTTGATCACGCAAACTAACTAATTCAGATGACCTATTGATAATCTAATACGTGGTGCCACCTACGGCTGGATTTGGGCGGATCGCCGGACTCGTTCGCCTGAAACTGAAAACAGACACGTTCGTTTTTTAGTCGACCGAGTCGGGCGATCCCATCCGTGGTGGGCACACCGTATTACATTTCACACAGTGGTTTATCAAGTGACTCTGGAATAGGTTAGATCATTTATATCCCTAAAAAAGAAGAAACTGAAGAATCATTTAAGAATGTGTCTCAAGGTGGGCTCTATTATTTCGATATTCTTCTCTCCGTATCTGTTGTTTCTGTTCAATCTCTCCTCGGACTTAGTTGTTGTTGCTGTACATTTTTGTGCCTCTCTTTCTTTTTTACAAAAATAAAATGTGTCGTATTGTGGTAAAGTCAGTGAAATAAAAGACACCATTGTTCCACATGGACAATTTTTAATATTTTGCCTTTTAAACTGCTCAATGCTTTTTATCCGATTTAAAACATACTTTTGTGTAGAATTACTAGCACCCATTGTCTCGTTAATTTCACCTCCAACACCAGGCGACCCACCTCCCCCCAAAACCTCCTTCAATTTAAAATTACTCGACATCTTTTCAAGGTGAATGGGCGATTTTTTTAAAACATTAAAAGCAAGTTAAATGAAAGACTTTAAGATGATACCAGTAATTTCATGTGCCCAAAAAATTATGACGAGCGCCTAATTCCACCACGCTGTGACAGAATTAAAAAACTATGGGTTTTTTTTTGGTAGGCCCCTAAGCGTTTTACGGCGCTCACAGCTGCATAAGGTCATATGAGCGCGCGGGACACACCTAATATTTTCAGTTGGTTTGAAATTTTGAAATTTGCCCCGGTGACAGCCGAAGCTTACTCTTATCGATTTTAGACCACCAAGGGATCTTTGATGTGCTCAACTTGCACATGGGCCCTCCGAGATTTTTTGCCCTTGTCTGTCGCTACCCGGATCTGAACCCTGGACCTTTAAATGAGAGGCCAACACCTTAACCTCTATGCCACGAGAGCCCCCCCCCCCCCAAAAAAAAAGCTATGCTTGCAACCCGAACATCAAATTAAATGATAAGCTGTGGATTCTTTGCTTTTATTACATCATCTCGGTATTGTTGTTATTACGATTCCGCATCGAGCCGGTGAAAAGATTATGCCATAGTATGTCTTGTCCTTTTTTAAACTTGACCCTTGAAAAAGAATCTTTATTTTCGTTTCTTTCATTCTCAGACTATACTGGTTGTGGTGGGTACTCGAAATCATTTATAGTTATACCACGTTTCTTCCAACTTTCAAAAGCATGGCGTCTCAAAACAAAACACTCAAACAGAAATATTTTAAAGAAACTTTCGATGCGTGAACCAGCTTTTGCTGTGTAGTGGATAAGCTATCAGCCGTTGCATTCAAAAGATATGTGTTCGATTTCCTTACGAAGGAGCCTGTTTTATTAAGTAAATTATTTCTCTCTGCTGGGATGATATATCCCGACAATCACGGATTGTCGCTGCTAAGCGGGGTCGAAGGAGCCCACCTCTCATGTTATTGAAATTGCGTCGTTTGGAGCATGAAACATTTGCAGTCATTTTAAGACATGTAAGGGCACACTATAAGTGAAACCTGTATGCCTGTAGCATATTAAATGACAGAGATGAGCTATATAAGGAGCAGTTCCCTTAAATGAGACGAAGAGTACGAATAAATTGAGGATTGAGGGCGAATGCTTTAGTTTTTGCTTTGATATCTTTCTCCACAAAGTTTCATTGTTTAAATTCATATAAAGGTTCACTAAGACTATCATTTCTTTATACTTCCTTTAAAGAAGATCCTCCTTTAGCCATTTTTCTCTCTTCTCTATCCATCTCTATCCAGGACGACATGAAGGTAGTCTCCTACGTCGTCGTAGCGGTTCTGTGTTTTCTGGTCACGATGACGACATTCGTCCTTCCGGAGACCAAAGGCAAGTGCTTGGCTGACAGCCTGAAGTCCTCCTCGTCGGAAGCTCCGAAAGTTAAAGTCGACACCGGTTTTAAGAAGGTTCCTAACGAGATCTGTATGGACGGTGGCAAAGATGTGGAGATGAATGACATTTTAGAGGTTGAATCTCAAGATGTTAACAGCGCTCCAAATGCGCAAGATGAGATAAGAAAGCCGCCAGTGGATGATGATGGAGAAACTGAGAAAGCGGGGCAGACGACGAACATTAACAACAGGCTTGATAGAGGTGTGATCTCGGAGGCAGACACCGTTGTCGTACGACTGTAAAGCAGACACGAGTTGTATCCCCCTTTTCTTTATCTACTCTGATAAAACTGGTAGATTCTTGAGGGTCTTTGGAGGGCATCATTTATATGTCCTACTTTTGTGCATTTCTTCTGCTGTTTTCTCTGCTTGTATAACTTTTTTCCAACACCTATTTAAAGGCTGTTGTACGACTGCCCCCTGTATCTTCTTCTCTGTAACTGGAACTCAACTCTATTTTCTTCAGTTTGTATATTTTGTGTAAATAGTACCAAGTTTACAATTAGACAGAACAGACCAGGCGACACCATAAAGTAGTACATGGGCATAAGTTACACTTCTCGGTAAGAGAGTCCCTTTAAAAGAAGAAAAGTCTACCTTTTCAAATCAAAAGCGAACTGGGCCAATAATATCTTATTTGCTATAAAGCGTACACACAACCACTTCTTCACGGAAACTGCTCAATGACTTAGGATAAGTAAGAGTATAATGATTACACCGTAGTTTTCTACAGCTGTGATTTACACCGTGAATATTGTAAGTTATCGTATGAAGTATGTACATATCTATTTTGTACTTTGTTATAATATGTGTCGCGCGTACGGGAGGCTGCTATTTTTTTTAGCAATAAACACAACCTAAACATTATGACCACAATTGTTTCTTCATGCTTATATTTCCCAGTGCCATTCTAAAAACATGTTGTGTACTTATTAAGATGTAAAGAATTGCAAATGATTAATTATTAATAGCTTTAGAGTGACGCTTGTTGCTCAAGCATTATGTCTACACATCATTGGAAGCGGACACTCTCTTGTGTCAGGATTTTGTTGATCAGCGAAAATGTCACATTCACCTGCCATGACAATAATATAGTTCATGTCACATGCAGCAGAATATATGAGGCACACAGCCACCTTGAACGTACAACCTTTTTTCCAGATACGGTACAACGCAATAAGTGTGGAGAATTCTGCACAATGATTAATTCTGAAAGAGAGGCGAGGTCTTCGGTGACAGTGGATGAATGGTACGGCCCTCTTCGGTGCTATCTTGTCCTTTAAAAAATACACCCACGCCACGTGCTGTTGGCATCATCCCGAATATATCAACACGTTTGGTGTTACTTTTTGCACTTGCGTTCCGTCCAGAAAGACATGTTAATTATGAACGGCGTCTACATGGCTGTGTTGTATGTAGATTATGGATCTCACAATTTGTACACGGTCTCTGACAGACGTTACTTTACGCCAACCCCCAGAATTCCAGTTACATAATTAAGCTACATAATTAATTGGCCAACAATCCACCAAATAGGAAGCATTATGTAAGATCAAAACCTCAAGTCCATGTTTTACTCCTGTCGTTTTTGTTTGTTTTTTTTATTTTTTTATTTTTTTTTTCTGGTTCCGTAGAGGATTGTAGCATTTGACATCGGTGACATGGACCAGCAGGTTAACGTGATCAAGACGTAGAAGTTTGAGGTTGCAATCCGTTTTGCTCCGTCATTATACCTCCTAATTCAACGAGGTGTCCGGGATTTATAGTCAGATCTCAATTCCCAGTCTACGTTTTTCTGTTGTATATTTGTGAAGCGCGAGAGTCTCGTTTTTTAGCTGGGGCTGAGAACTTTTCTAATGTCATACATCTTTATTATCCTTATTTATTATTATTATCATTATTATTATTAATGTTTATTATTATTATTGTTGTTGTTGTTGTAATTATTATTGTTATTATTATTTATGTATTATTAAATTAATATTTTTATTATCATCATCATAATCAGCATCAGCATTATCATCATCATCATCACCATCAACATCATCATCATCATGATCATCATCAGCAGCAGCAGCAGCAGCAGCAGCAGCAGCAGCAGCAGCAGCAGCAGCAGCAGCAGCAGCAGCAGCAGCAGCAGCAGCAGCAGCAGCAGCAGCATTATGGTTGATAAAGAAAGACCTCAGACCTTTACATGATCAATATTTACCTCCCTTCAAACGACGAAGTTACCCTTTCAATTCAAGTAATATAATGTCAACATCTTTCAGGAGACTCATTCAGCTTTGTTGGTATTATGCTGGATAATCGTGCAAATTACCCTTTTCAAAACCAAGACTAGTTCATCCCTTTTCATTCAAAGCTCAAATTTCTTATGAATTTGGGTGGAAGATTTGTGGCAAAATATATTATTGTCTAATTTCACTGTGGTAAGCTCAGCCCAAATTGAAATGTTCCAAATTTACAAATATTTATATTGTAAAATTTTAAAAAGTCATTTTAGAGTCCACTGAAGTGGTTTCCTGTTTTACTAAGAAGTAAAACGAATGAGACCAGACAATTAACACTACACAATAATCACAATTTTTTATGTTTATCCCCCCCCCCCCCCCCCCCCCCGGGCCGACACAATTTATAAAGGAGGCAGGCTGCTTCATCCTGCTGTGGCCAGCTCAGGCTAAGAGGGACGCAGGGCCCGTCCAGACAGACGGAGATTCATGGTGAAAATATTCCCCCTAAATGAGAATGGAACTCACGTCTCTTGTGTGCGCGGGCGAAACGCCAAACAGCGTCACCAAAGACGTTGGTCCATTAACGCTGTCAGTCAATGAATGTCTAGTCCTAGAGGATGATTCATAATGAATATGTGTCAGGTCCGCGCACACACACACACACACACACACACACACACACACACACACATACACATTGTCGGTCTGCCTTATGGGTAAGGCTTTTAGTTCAATTGGTGTTATGCTGGACTATGGTGTGGAAAGCCCAGGTTCGAATCTCTTATAGAACGTTTTTGAACTTGAATTGCTTTGAACGTTTACAATGCTCTACCAGCCTGACACGGCCATGGCTCAATCGGAAGCGGGGGATGTTTTTGAGTGTTCTATGGTCTTGTTTCCGCTCAAATGATCTCGAAGTGTTGAAAAGGCGTGCAAACATAAACGTTCAATATCTCGTCCATTGTCTCTCCAGGATTGCGTTCTGCATTATTATGAAATGACAATTTATGTCATTTTCTATAGAGCATTTTAACATTATAGGCAAAGACAAGAACAGCACCTCAAACAAAAGCAACATCAGCATCTACAACAACCTTAAAAATAAAAAGCAAACAAACGGAAAAAATACACACCAAAAGCGGAGCAGACAAGATATTGTCTCCTTTACTGAGAAGTGGGATCAAGTCGTTGACATGCAAATCTGGTACTTCGTGCGAACCCAGAAGAAAAAGGCTCTGACTGTTTGAGATTTATAAAGAAACAGAATCTTATAGGTCTATGGTTTTCATATTTCAAACAATATAAAACTGGAACGTGGCATTATATAATCGGCAAAGGTGCCGAAACATCACACATACTTTATGAAGCATTTTTTTTTTCTTGGAATCAAACAATTTTTTTGTTTTAGTCAAGGTACTTCTAAACAGAGAATAAAGACAAAAGAAAAACAACCCGAAGAGCACTAACTAAATTCATAACCTGACCATGCATATCTAGAACGTAGGTTAAAAATGTTAGTCAAGGAGATATATTATGTATCACGACACGGTTGAATTAGGCGTCATCGACTGTGGGTCATAATATGATATAATATATGGTTATTGGTATAATCTTCAAGTTTCTTCTTTTGTCTTGCTTTTGGTGAAAATATACCCATCTATCTCGAATAGAAATCAAGATCATTGCGATTAAATGAGGTTGGGGGGTCACCTGGTGTCAAGATAAATGGCCACCAAAGTTCTGCGATTTCTATAGCATAAGTGTCCTTGAAAACAGCACATTTACATTGGGTGGGGGGTGGGGTGGGGGGGTTGTGATCGACGTTATTCTGTAAACTACTCACGTAAAGCTGTTTTCAAAAGACATGAAAGGTGTTTAGTAAGAAATAAATCAATAAGAATTGCCCAACGTGCTCCGATTTCACTATTTTGTCGGGCGCCTAATTTCACCAGGAATCTACACATATTACCTTATGTTCCCTGCAGGCGTCTATGTTACATTTAAACTGAAAGAGGCTATGCAGAATAGTGTTAAATGCAAGCTCAGTTTCTCAAATTCTCAAAGACTTTTTCAATTAAAATAAAAGACCCCAAATAAAATGATCAAATGTATGTTACAATTTTTGAATTAATGAAAGATTCGTGTGCTATATACATATAGTCACACACACACACACACACACACACACACACACACACACACACACACACACATACACACACACGCACACACAAGCACACTCACACACACTCGCGCGTGGGCACCTTGTTATGTGTAATATAGAAACTGCCAAGGCCGTAATAGAGTGATTGCAATTTAACTTTAATTTAAGTGATTTTCACTTAACTTGTTTGATTCTGACAGAATTCCGTACACAGAGTTTTTTGTAGTTTCTTGTATTCGTTGTTACTGCATGCTACAGTTTGAATTCTGTCGTCAGGCGTTTATTCTAAATGTTTATTAAAAAGTACCTAGTGTTGCAAAGGCAGCTTTTAGGGGGGGGGAGGCTTCTTAATTTGTTTTTGTTTTTTATTTATTGAGAGTGCAACACAGACATACATCTACGAGGGGTCGTTCAATACTCATGCGTAGAGAATATGTTTAATTTGATTACTTTGATATTTCTAGAAGGTTGCATGTAGATATTTGGTAAAAATCTGATGAGAGTCATGAATTTAGAGCACTTTTAGCGAACTTAATTTTTGAATATCTAAAGATAAACCTACTTTCAATGGAAAGAATGCCAACAACGGAATCTCTCGGATAAATGTATGTAATCTAGCGTCTTTATTTACGTATGCAAGATGAAGCAACGGCGACAATTATTGAAAAGATGTTAAGTTGTTTACCTTGCGGAATGCCCTTCTTATGAAACTGATAAATATTGTAAATGGAATTCTAATCAGGTTGTCTGTCCGTTCTTGATAACCCACCTGGAGGGCGTCCAAGGGTTGTTGTTACTGAGGAATGTGTAGGTCCAGTTAAGAAACTGGTATTCCAAGATAGGCAAGTAACTTTTAAACAGTTTGCAGGCGCTAAAAAAGCGTAGACTCCGTAGAAACAATCATGCACGACCATTTTTACATGTTCAAGGCATTGGCAAGGTGGATTCCTTTCCTAGAAATATGACATCTAATTAAAAATAACAAAGAGCTGACCGTTGCAAAGAACTCATTAGGATAGAATGGAGAGGCACTAATCTTTTAAATCGAGTTGAAATATTAAATAAAACATTGGTTCCTCATTCTGATCCCGAAAGAAAAATCTCTTTGATGTAATTGAAAAATTCTTCATCCCCATCACCAAAGAAAGCCAAGCTGCGACCTTCAAATGGAAGGGTTACGTTGTCCTTTTTTGGTACAGCACAGGGTCACCATGACTGACTTCTTAGAAAATCATCATACTGTTACTGTGGACTATCATTCGGCAGGTTTGTATTTGGGTGGGGGGATTAAACAATGATCTATCTTGGTCAAAGAACGACAAGGTAAGTTGCGTAAAGGAATCCTTTTTCGGCACGACAGTGCTTCAGCGCAACTCACCAAAGCAGTGTGGCTACGAAACGCTCCTACACTCACCCAATTCATCTAACATAGCACCCTCACATGTTTCCTTTTCCAGAATCTAAAGCAGTTTCAC